AATTCTGTTATGTTAAAGTCAAAATTTGGCCGAAGATATAAATAACTTCGTATTCTTGTATTAATAAGAAATTTTAGTTTCAGTGCCGCCAGCTTGGCGAAGAATGAGTAAAGTAAAAATTTATTTTACTCTTATTCATTTTATGGTAAATTGTAAAAATCATATGTATTAGAATTTTGTAAATATACGTAAATACTTGAAAGTTATGTAAAAGTAGAATTTAGTCTAGAAGCATAAAATTTTAGATGCTAAAAGTAAATGCTCAAAAGAAACGAATTCAAATTTAAGTATTAAACAGTAGATAAAATCATGCTTTAGAGCGAAAGCCTGCATGTCTAAAGATGAATGAGGGGGAATTTAGAATGAATGTGTTTTGTAGGGTTCTCCACCTACACTTGAATTTTAAGAATGTTAAACATAGCTCATCGAGTTTCAGTATGTCGATTAAGGTGTGTCATATTTGGTCGTTTGAATTCTAACAAATCATTGTGGTTAGGGAAAGTGTTGTAATACAAAAACACGAAGATTCCCGTTTGACACCACACATGGTGGAGAACCAGGGTAAAGTTAAATTCATGTTTGAATATTTGAATGAATGTGAATGTAAGCAGTTAAATAAGGAAAAGAAAAGGATCGAAAACGAAAACTTTATCCTGTGTTAAGAAAGTGTAAATCATAATGTATTTAGAATATACTGATACTTATTCCTTCCAGATGCTGGAAGGAAGAGAAAAAGATTGAGTGATGAAGACCAAATTCCAGAAAGGATCCTGTAGGAAGATATGGTAATTTAACATCTACAGAAATGATTATAATTGTTATAGTTTGTTTTATGTAAACGGAGCTCTTGAGTTTTAGGTCAGAATATGGAAATTTTTTCAACAGGTCGTTTCTAGGACCTGCTTCCAAGTTTACCAAATTCTGTCGGCGGCAAATGTGGGGTTTATATTTATTTTAACTGGCATTTGTTTTAAGTTTAGGCTATCTTTCCTGTCAAGCCTTTGTAGTGGAACGCGCAGAGTATTCAAATTTTAGCAGAAGTAAATTGAGTTTAAATAGAAGGGAAACGAGATTGTAAGTGTGGTTCTTGAATCGCGAGCGTGAAGGTTGCTAGGTAGAAATTTAAGAACCGCGCGTTTCGGCCTGTGTGCCTATTTCGGCAGTTCGTTGAATCTTTCAACTTCTTAAACAGTAAGTTTGCTGAATCTCAGCTGTATCTTAGAACGCGGTTAAGTTAGTTACGATTATAGAGCCTCGTAGGTAGTGATTTCGTTATTTATTCATCCTGTCATTTATTTTAGTAAAGTCGCTGAACTGGTAGTTCGGTCCGAGGTCGAATCCGTGGCTGCATAATGTGTAACGTGTATACGAGCCAGTTTCCCTTAGAAAGTCCTCCACGAAGGCATCCATCCCCTTAGGCAGATAGCCCTAGTGTGCTTTGCCATAATTAAAATACACCATTTATTTTTAGTTGTACTTTCTATTTTGTTAAACCGCCGGGTCAGCGTAGTTTGTGAGCGTCAAGTGAACGCAGCTGTATTTCTCAAGTGGAATAAAAAGGGATTTAAACCCTTCTTACAAGTTTGTGTAATTTACAGTTCAAAGCAGTCACTAACACTGTTGCTGACAAGTTGGGGCCTTGCAACATTATAAACTGAAAGCCAATAAGTTTTTAGAATTTGCTAACGAGCACTCTAAATTGAAAATTAAAAAATACATAAGAAAAAAGTAAGATTTTTAAAGATAAATAAACGTAAAATAAGAAGTTTCTTCTGGAAAAAAAAATTTTAATAATTTTGCTTATAATAAAAATTAAGAAACTCGACTTTGTGATGTAGCCGTTCCTCAATAGACACTAATGCCGGCTAGCTTTAAAAAGGATTTATTAACAGAGCACACAGAAACGGTTACAAACAAAAGAAATATACATAAAAATGAAACATATACTAAATAGAACATCAAACATTTGAATAACATAACATAGTAAACTATCATCATAGCCGGCATTAGTGTCTATTGAGGAACGGCTACATCACAACTTTAAATTAAAAATATATGCTTTTCTCGATGCGAGTTTTGCTGTGAATGGTGAAGTTTTTTTAAGAACTTTTCTTAATTAAATACATTTAGTAAATCTGAATAAATGAAAAGACATAAACACTAAGGATAGCAAAATGATCGTTTAATTAAAATAATGTTATTTGAGAAGCTCAGCATATGGGTCAAAATAAGCTGAAAATTAAAACGAAATCGAGGTAAATTCCTTACTTAAAGCAGCATGATACTTCTAGAAACGATAAACACATGAATTGTCACCAAGCAAAGAAGGTAGGAACGTATAATCAAGGCAGAAGTGCAGTTACTTTAAATAAAAAAGATGCCAAAAGCGTGGGAAAATTGTAACAAAATCGGGATGAATACTCCATAAAGAAAGAAAATTATTTTTATAACAACATACAAAATAATGGCAAAGCGCAACCATTCATTTATGATTATTAGAAACATATTTCATCCAGAGCAGAACTTTTTAAAATGATCTGAGAAATTTTATAAGTTGTTATTTTTTATATGAATAATATTACGGTACTATTACATAAAATAAAAATTATGAAAATAAAGAAATAATTATGGTATGAAATTATTTTATTGGAAATATAAGGACACTCAATAAAAGATGCACAATATTGATAATATAATGTTTACTCTTTCTTCCAACTGAAAAATTGGGCAGTCAGGTAAAGCCGCAAATCATAACCAGATTCAAGTAATAAAACAGTTTAAACAGCTTGACCGGTACTATAGACAGATAAACATATAACCATATCCATAAAAATATTAATTTTTTGTATGTTCCACATTAAGAATATAGCTCATAATAACGTACAAAATATTACTTTGTCTTAACCTTCGAACTAAAATCCTTAATATACATTTACATATTAATACTTTGTTTTACATATTACATCCTTAATGTACTACAGGCAAGGAGGAGATGACGAACATTTACATTAGTAGACTTCGAGATTTCAAAAATCTAAAAAAATTACGAGATGCCGAGGAATAACCACTAGTAGACAGACTACAAATGAACTGATATAACACCGTTTTTTACGCTTTTTAACGCAGTCCGTACATCAGATCCGACTCGCCATCAGAAACACTCGTAAAACGTAACAGTCGGAAGCCGATATTCTAAGCTGCTAGCTAAATATCAGCCCGAAAGATCCTCTTTAAAACACTCGTAGACGGGAACACGAAGTCCTGATCATCGTACAACATCATACAGTCGGAAGCCGACCTACTTAGTCGCTATGTCTTTTACACACTCATGCTCATTTAAAAAAAAAAATAAATTTGGCAAATTAAAATGCACAGATAATAATTTATGTACTTGATATAAATAAGAAAACCAGAGAGAAAAATTTCAACTTTTAATGGCCAACATAAAATGTCATTTATAATAGGATATCAAAACAAACCAAATCCAACAAAATAAACTGAGAATTTAAATTAAATAATGAATCAGTCAAAAATAAATAAAACTTAACTAAAAAAAGTCACAGAAATAAGGAAAAATTGCAAATGAAATTGTATAAATCGGTCAAACATTTAAACTATAAAAGCACATTAAGCTAAAGAATTTTTTTAAACAAACAAAAAAGTTTTCCCTTTCGAATATTTACTATAAATTTAATTAAAAGTTTATTTTCTCCCTCTTTCCAGAATCAGCATGCCTTCGTAGTATAAAGGTAGCACACTCGGCGTGTATTCGAGAGGTCTTATTTCGAATCCCGGCGAAATGAGACTGCCGGAACTCGAAATGAGTCCACTGCTCATTTTTCACGTCTCCGGCATAAAAAAAAATCTAATAACTCAACAGTAGCGTCCGAACTAAAAGGTGGTGAGCAATAATTCGTCACCACCAGGATTTGAAGATTGGGTCCCCTAATTCCCACTCGCCATTTAAAAGGGGGAGTACATAAGATAGTTTCACCCTCCTTCTCTGCATGCTTTCGTGGTGAAGCGGTAGCACGCTCCATGCGCATTCGAGAGGTCTTCGAGTCCCAGCGAGGGTATTGCTCATTTTCGTGTTTTCTACCTCAAAAATTCTAATGATTCTACAATAAAACAGAACCTATTTAAAATCTAAATAGAGTTTCAGCTAATAAAAGTTGTTAAATGCTTATAATCCGAACATGCATATAAGATGCAGCGCAACCTCTTTAAGCCGATCACTAGAGTTTCTGAAGATTTTGTATTTTAGTGGACCTAAGAAGTGGTCACCTACATGAATATATATATATATCTATAATACATCAAAGATTGAAACTTATTAAAATCGAAATAAATTTTCCAATACTTATGCAATAGCTGCAAAGTAAGATAATAATAATTTATTTGCTAAAGTAGTATTGATTATATTAATAAAGTTCCATGCCAAAATAAGAATCTGCATTATTCTGTTTTCATTCACATACACCTTCTAGGTTAAATTTTGATACTTTATACTACTTTAATGGAGACAGGGATGAACATTATCTTCATGAATATTATATGGAAGAATAAACTAAAAACTAGAGATTAAACAAAAGTTATAATAAAATGAAATATTATACATTCATTTTTCTCAAAAAACAAAATGCTATTAAACTTTAGAGCGCAATTTCCTCGATATTCTCAAATTCATTATTTTGGCATCGGGGCGATGATATCAGAAATTTACGCAAGTGAATCGCAAAAAAAGTTGCAATATAGGAAAATAAAAAGTAATGTTTTTAATTCTAAGTAATCAAGGCGCTTTGCATTATTGCTTTTCTACTCTCAACAAATTTCTAGTAATAAATTTAAATAATAAATAAATAAAATTTGACTATGTTGTAGCTCATTAGGAATTAACCAGAATAGTGCCTAATTACCTGAAATTAAATAGTTAACACTAGAAGAGAATAAGATACATAATCTATCTTAATCAGCATTTTCTCTGGAGACATGTAACTTACTTGAGCAAGGAAAACTCCTCAAAAACTCGTATCGATTTCTCTCCTTCGTGAACAAATTCGAAAGTGATAAAACTTATCAGAAACGATAGTTGCCACTCTGTTATTTTGAAAAACGTTTAGATAATAAAAGCATTGTTTTGCGTATCAGAAAAGCGATAAAGGTAGCCTGTTTCAAATGGTGGAGGAAGTAATAATTATGATTATCTTTATGTACATTAAATAAAATCTTCTCTGCCTGAATTTCCTGAAACCCTTGTACTCTGTGATAAATAATAACGGAGAGGTTAATAAATAAAAAAAAAATCTGAAAGGTTTTAGATTTTATATTACTCATTAAGGGACGTTTATTAACGTTTTGTGTGTTACCTTTATTTATTAAACATCATGCTCTTCGCACTTAAACCATACAATTAAATTCAACAGCAATATCGTAAAATAATTTTAAAAGAGCATACTTGTAGAATTTCCAATAAACAGTCTCGCGCGCTAGGAAAGAAATTTTTTCCCCCCGCGTACAGTGTCGCCATTGCTCGCTTTGAAATCGTTGAGTTTCTTAATCAAAAACTCATAAATACTTTACAAAATATGAAATAGATAACAACAAATTTTAAATCTGTGGGCTTTCAGATGCTCATCTTCGTGTGGAGACGTACGTTATTCAAAATTTGCTTGCGCTAAGTACCGTTGTTTAATCACAATGGGAGAAACATACATACATTTATGCAGATTCTTCATTATTTAACTTCTTTAAATATAGCACAGTTCGATAATATTTGGTGGAAACAATTTGAAAAGTGATTCAGACTTTTAAAGTTTCGACGCAAAATGCCAAAACGAAATTAATAGCCCTTCTGGACTAACGCTCTTTGGGCTACTAATTAGATATATTAGATGCTCTCCGTGATCCGTATTTTAAGGGCTCTAGGAGAATTAAAAAGAAGGAAACATTTGTCTTAAGTAAACGTTTTGCTTAAATTATCTTCAATCGAGCAAATAACATTGGTATTACTCTCCACAACAAGAATAACTGTTTCATCTGCAAATTTCTACGTGGCTTTTTGTAGCATATTTTCTGTCATTTCCTTCTTACTTTTACATCTACGCTGGTTATCATAAATTAAGGAAAAATCACAAAAATAGCGATAACTTCCTCAAAAATAAGCCAAACCGTGTAAAATTTGACTATGTTGCCAAGTAAAAGTAGATGAGTAAAACTGCAATATGCAAATTAGTGGCGCTGCATTCGGAATACGTCATCTGCGAGGAGAATAAAAGTCCATGTTTGAGAGCAAGCTCACATATTTCAGTGTGATAGTGACATCAGAAATCTGAGATAGCTAATTCGTAACAATGACCTCCAGGCATCATTTGCCAGCAGAACTACGATGGAGAGCCATCGGGAGACTAGAGGCAGGGTAAAGTCAAACAGAAGTGGCCAGATGGCTAAATGTGAGTCCTTCTGTGGTTCATAGACTTTGGCGGCGATTTCAAACCACAGATTCGGCTTCTAAGAGGTTCAGACAAGGACGGCCAACTGCTACGACGAGCGCCGATGACCGATATTTGACATTATGTGCACGCAGAAATAGAACCGCTACTCCGACTCTTCTTAGATCCTCCCTTGCTGCAGCCACCGAAAGGTTGGTGTCAACGTCAACTGTGCGTAAAAGGCTTCACGAAGGTGGTCTGTATGCGAGACGACTAGCCATTTGCGTGCCGCTCACGTCACGCCATAGGAGGGACCGTTTGCAGTAGGCACAACAACACGTCCACTGAACGCTTGATAAGTGGAGGGCTGTTCTCTTTACGGATGAGTCCAGGTTTAGCTTAGAAAGCGATAGTAGGCGTTATTTGATATGGAGAGAACCTGCAACCCGTTATCATCCGTCAAACATCCGTTAAAGAGATGCATATGGAAGAGGCAGTGTCTGTGTCTGGGATGGCATCTCTTTGGGTGGACGGACAGACCTCCATGTTTTTCCAAGGGGAACCGGGAATGCTCATGTTTATAGAAATGACATCCTTGATGTTTATGGTGCGCCCATATGTCGGGGCAATAGGTTATGCTTTCCTGTTACAGGACGACAATCCAAGACCACACAGGACTCGCATCGTATAGGATGATCTTCAACAAGAGACAGTTATGCGCATGGAGTGGCCAGCTCGATCCTCGGTCTTGAATCCTATCGAGCACGTTTGGGATGCTTTAGGGAGACGTCTAGCTGCTCTCAATCCGTCGCCTTAGATCCTTGCCGCGCTTGCAACTGTTTTGCAAGAACAATGGCCTCTCGCTTCCTATGGAACTGATAGACCGCATAAATGAAAAGCATCACACATCGCTGTATGTGCTGTATTGCTTCTAGAGGCGATTATATTCCATATTGAAGGTACTTTTACTATAGCAAACTGACATCTTCGATTTTTTCATTTTATACATGTGCTAATTTCTATACTACCATAATTGTCTGGTAATTTCTTTTTATGTTCTTTGATACCTTACTATATGTGTTGTATATTGTTGGTTAAGTTTCATAAAATTCTACATGTAACTTTTTCAGTAATCGTGATTTTGTGATTTTTCCTTAATTTATGATAACCAGTGTATAACCTGGCTTCTACTTCATAACATGACATGGAATCTAATTATTTTGCATTTTATAACTTACTACATTGAAAATTCTTTCTTCCACAGTCAGGCGTCGCACGTCTCATATTGACATTGTCGTCAATATTAGGATACTATCAATGGGATACGATGAGTCAGTGCATGAGATCAGACTTATCCTATCCCATTGATAGTGTCCTATATATTGTGCATATCTACAAAACCAAATAATGTCAGTTCTGAAAAAATAAATTACTCTTTTTTAATTAATCTGATTAGGTAGAAATACGCACTGATTTATGTCTTGCCTCATATGCATGCAAATTTCTTTATAAATATTATGTTGTGAAATTAAGCACATCTTAAATATATGATCTTGTGAATATTCATTTCACATAAACATGCGTATCTTCAGGTACATATCCCAAGTAGCAGATGACGCAGCAAAGACTTCGCAAAGTGGTCGTGGTAACTTTTACAACGTTTTTACAACGCAGCGAAGACGCAAAATAGTTGTCGTTGCATCTTGGCAATTTGTCAACGTCGCTGAAACGTCGTGATTTGACTGCTTTTGCAGGTGGTTGTTTAGCATTTCTTTCATAGTTCATCAACGTTACTTCTAGAATGAAAAGAGACTAAATCTGCCCTTTCAAGAATCTGAAGTCCGCATAAGATTTATTTTGCTGTAATACATTACTTTATTTCATCTAAATATATAGATTACCTCAGATTAATATCTTAGATAAAATATATAAATACCTTAGATTAAAGGTAGATTCATCTAATTAATTATAAATTTAATAAATACTTTTGAATTGTTAAATTTAATTAGTACTAAAATACGTGCTAAATTATGTTTAAAATTTCGTTAAAAATAATTAACAATTAAAATATTTTTTTTATAAATACTACAGCAAAATATTTAAAAATGAAAATAATTTATAAAGTTATTAATTTATGCATTTTATATATTTTAAAAAATCATATTTCCGAAATCAATGCAAAACTAATTCTTTGCAAATCGCATGTTAGGAATTATTTCACTACTGAAATATGACTTTATTTATTATTTTTATGCAAAGGTTTTATTTGAATTAATATGCTGACATAGTATGAAACATTTTACTGCATACAGTGCAAAAAGTTCTAAGTTAAACTTTGTTAAATTTATCATTCGAAGAACAGAGTTCTGAATGTCAATTAATTACACTAAAAATTAAATAGTTCAAATTTAACTTGCTGCACGGAAATTACATTTACAATTATTGAAATCCTTATAAAGCACAATCCTAATGTTCATTAAATGTAGGTACTTACACTCTACAATTGTTTCATTAAGAAGTTCATTCCTGGGAATGAACTAAATACAATATTCTTTTTCTTCCAAACTGAACTTTTATTTCCGGACATATTAGTGAGCATTTTGTATAAATAGAATATAGTATCTCAGCTTATAATTATAACATCCTTCATATTCGTTTAACCAAGTGAAGAGACATTTTAGTGCGTGAGACAGACTACCGAGACGAAGGAGAGACGTGATTATAGGAACTGTCATCACTAGGCTCAGTTACAGATAAATTAAAAATCTGACGTGTACACCCCATGACTTCCTTGTACGGAATATTAAATTATACGCATTTTTTCTTGCATTTCATTTAAACTTATTGGATTGAATTAAATCTACTTCGCCGACAGCGCATAAACCACAATAGAATAAATGCATTCTTTAAAATTTACTCTAGTATTTGTTAACCATAGCGACACTCTGGCGCTAAATTCACTTAACAGTATTAATAATTATATAACAGTTAACTTATATAATAATTATATAACGTAAACTAAGTTAACTGTTATATAATCCAATAATTATATAACAGTTAACTTATATATTTCGTTCATATTATAACTCATAATGCACAAAATTTATATCATTTAAAAGAATAGAATTATCTAATCGTTGCCACATATTCTATTCAAATACTATAATAAAGCTAGAATGATTTATAAAAGAAATTAAGCAAACAAAACAAAAAAAAGAAACAGTTTTTTTCACAGACGATTGAGTATTTCTCATTCAATTAATTCAGTTCTCACTTCGCGAGAAGGCAAAAATACATAAAAACTCAAAATATCTATATTAAAAATTACGAAGTAAATCTCAAACACTTATTTCCTCGAAAAAATTCCAGAAAGAATTAAGCATGATTTAATTGGCAATAATAAATAAATGCGTTATCTTTGTTGTTGCGAAGCTAAGTTTCTCTAGATTGGCAACAAATCCACTAGTCTCCTGTTTCAAATGTAAACATCAATGGCCGCCATTAAAAAAAAGGCTTAGCGGCAATTAAACAACTTTAAAATTGCTGATAATTCTAAAAATATTTTCACACAGATTTACTAAAGACATAAAATCCTTAACCGGAAGATAAAAACAACATAATTCAATCATTTT